GGCGTCATGCTGACGTAACCGATGGAGTCTGATGGAAAGTCAGATGACGTATCATCGATTGATCCCAAAAACGCTTTGATGAAATTTTCGATGAACGGGTTTGTTTTGTTTACTATTATCACTTATCAGCGAAGCAATCTGTTTTCGTTTNTATCCTTTTGCGTGCAGATGCTTCTACTTATCCATAAGTGTTACTAAACCGTAAAAAAGTGAAAATCGAAAAAAACCCGTGTTGGAGTGTTTCCGAACTCACTGATTCATTGGAAACATGATTATTTGGATGGATAAGGTGGGGAGCCGGCAGACGATAGGATGGGTTTAGTTATTAGAGTAGGTATTGGTTAGAGAGTGCTCGAACTGCTCTGAGTTCCCGTCGCGCCACGCAGCCATCTTGCCTTCTCATTCCGAGGGGGTCTTTGCCTGCAAAAAGTAAACATCAAAAACGCTTTGATGAAATTTTCGATGAACGGGTTTGTTTTGTTTACTATTATCACTTATCAGCGAAGCAATCTGTTTTCGTTTTCCTCAATTTTAAGTGTTTGGGGCTTCATGTTATAGTAGCGAAATTGCTGGCAATGCAGTCTGCAGTCATTTGAGTTTTTCGATTATTCTGCAGGATTTGTTTGGAGTCTTGTCCTGCCATCTGTTAAAGTTCACCCATGTGAAGTTGCTATCGTAGAGTGTTTTGCTTTCTTGAAGTTATTTGTAATTGCTCTTTCCATGTCATTTGGACACCTTACACTTATCTTTACATGATATCTTTCTGCTTACATGCTAGAGATCTGATGTTTGATCTCACCAGCTGATTAAAGGCAGTCAAAACAGATGATCCTGCAGGAATCATCTGTCTGTTTAAGTGTTAGTAAGCATTTCTCTCAATACGTAAGTAGTCCTGATCGCTTTCTCAGTGGCTTGTCGCTACTTTGTTCGCACACATTGTTGAATACCCTCACAACTTCAGGCGAGAAATCAACCATTGAGGAGAGCATTAAAGCCCTCAACAAGGAAGCTGAGCCACTGATTATTTCTTGAGAACTAAGGTTGTGCAGATGGACCTGCAAGTTTGCTTGGTTTCAGGAAATTTTATTGGCAGGCTTTGTAACAAGGCTTTCAGTGGAAGCAATCGCAGCAAAACCTTGGTAACTATCAATATTATTAAATGAGTTAGATAGCATCTCAGGAGATTCAATCGTGCCCTGCGTCAGAGCTCAGTACTGAGACTTCCGCAGACTGTGTTCATTCTTTGACACTTTGTCCAAAGAAGTTAAGTCCTATTCTACAGAAATTTTGGATGAAAATCTCATATTTTATATACTCTTCGAAGTACTTAGACCAACGAAACTTCTCCTAGTGAAAATTAATTATGAATAAGAATATTCAGATAGGAGGCTGTTCATTAAATATATGGCGCTCAATTTTGGATTGATCCTTCTCCTTTCCCTCTGATAATGCTTTTGTGACCTACGGGCCCTACTTGCGTCAAGACATAACGGTGTGACGCTAACCCAAACACCCATATGAATGCATGTCTAATATTTTAAGAACTGCCTCTAAGATGAAGAAAGAGCAACATCAATTTTCACTTACTTATACTGAGGGTAGGCCCTACTCATCTGGGGTTGAAGGCAGAATGTGTCCAGTTGGCACTGATGGCGTTGCAAACCATTATAGAAAATTGCTATAGCAGGAGATAAATTCAGCTCTTCATACAAATTATTAGTGATGAAACTTCCATGTTAACATCGAAAAATAATATTGAATCAATGCTGAAAGCAATAGGCAATGGCACGGAAAGGTAAGTGAAAATGTATCAAATTGATAACTCATAGTGCCGATTAGAAAAGGCCTTTGTTAAAGGACAAAGGTATTCAAATATTGCACTTACACAATGTTACAGCCTATTAACTTGGAGCCTAGTTGCAGCAGAATATAAAATTAAAATGAAATGACCTTTGATCTGTTAGTGCCAATCTGTCCGCGGGTAATATCTTGACCATGGCAACACAACACTTTCAAATGATCAAAACATCAAAACTTCCTGGATACATACATAATTTCATAGTCAATAGATGAAAACCACGAATTATCACAGGCTCCTAAAATTATTTCCATTCGAAATAAACTAAAAAAAACTTCATACATCTCATAGAAAAGGAGAATACTGAATAATGGAGAAATTGTCTATTGTCAGGAGGACATATTATTTACTTATTTAGTTTATATTTGGAGGTTAATTACGTCACGCGACGTCATCTACATCGGCGTGCATCGGCTTCATCGCAATCCGAAGTACGATTGATCTGGTTGATCCGGTTGATCTACTCTACGTCATAGCGATGGAATCAATCAGAATTCCAAAAACGCTTTGATGGATCTGCACCGATGAATCGTCTACTATTCACCGGTCCCAAAAACACTTTGATGCACAACCGATTCAACCGATTTACATCGCGATGAATTCTGGAACGCAGCCCTTAACGACGCGTCTTACGCATTCCGCCGCCATATTGCTCGTGACGTATTCCTGCGAAACCTACGAGCGCGCAGTTCAAACGCCGTTTTAGGCCACCCTAATTTTGGGCACTTTCAAATTAACTTTTCTCCCGTTTGCAGTCATCAAAAAAATTTAGGAATAAAACTGTAAGCTTTGGTCACTTACTACTTTCGAATGACACAATAAAAAAAATGACTTAATTGACTCATCGGTTTAAATGTGGAAATAGACGCAAAAAATAAAAAAAATCAGTGCAGCAGGTCTCAATAATTTGGAGTCTCAAAAGTCATACAACAGATGAGTTGTTACTACGGTAATGTCACCAATTCATTGCAAAATGCTGACCTACCCGATTTATTGCGAATTACAGAAAACTCAAGATTCATTTACGTATCGACTTGACTCCTTCTCTCCCCCCCCCCCAAATTAAGCCACTGGGCCACCCTGTCACGACTGGAAAAGTTCCTCGGAAGACAGAATTCTCTGCCAAATTCAACGATTTCTTGTCATAGAGTCCCATCCCGTTGGATGTTTTCAACTGCAAACCCTCCTTCCTACAGAAAAATCGGGCAACACCACTGCATGAGAGACTAAGGAAGGGCCGGGAAAAGATCTACAGGACCCTGAACTCCCATAATATCCGATTTAAAAACCCGTGAGCATAGGGTGCGGCTTATTTGCATCATGTAGGAAAATCGATGAGGTCCAGGTGGCAATCCATTCTATGTATGAAAATAATAGGCTGTATAAAATTTGAGCCAATTTGAAGCTTTTTTAGTAGATGCTCAAAGGGATTAAAACTACGGGCAAAATTACATAGGTTTAAATGGGCGGAAAAACGCCTGATCTGCAAAAATGCGTTTTTCGAATCTAAAATGCGCTTAAAAGAAGAAAACCTAACCAACTCATATGGAGGCATCTAGGGACCCATTCGAAACGAGAAAATCACACTTTTGACCCATGAGTGGGAACAGGGGGGTCACGGCGTAGCCGGTTTCGAGGCGCCGCGCCCGCAGCTAAGTAGTCACTTTTGAGACTTTCTGATGGAACTCAAAATAAGTGTTCCAAAGTTGAAGAGGCAAATGTATCTCACAACTTTATGAGAAATAATGTATAATAGTTGTTTCAGCCCTTGAGAACTATACTTGGCCCTTTACAATGTTGCCTCCCTTACTATTTCTTGAGCCTGGAACGAAATTTGTGTATATATTTTATCTGGCACTCGAATGATCCCCCCTACCCTCACGCATGGGTCAAAAGTGTGATTTTCTCATTTCGAATGAGCCCCTAGATGCCTCTCTAAGAGCTGGTCAGGTTTTCTTCATTTCAGCGCATTTTAGATCCAAAAAGCGCATTTTCGCAGATCAGGCGTTCTTCCGCCCTTTTAAACCAGTGTAATTTTGCCCGTAGTTTTGATCCCTTTGAGCGTCATCTAAAAAAACTTCGAACTTGCTCAAATTTTATACAGCTTATTATTTTCATAGATATAGCATTGATTGCCACCCGGACCTTGTCAATTTTTCCACGTTACGAAAATAAGCTACACCCTACCGTGAGCAGATACTAGTGCAGCAATCTCGAAGGATGCAACAAACTGATATCATGTATCATGAAAATGACACTATATATCTGCCTCAAATCAGTGTTAGCCAAATTTCCGAGAGTCAGTGCATTTGCTACTGGAAGTAGGGGTCAAAAAAATCCTTATTTTTAAGAAGATAAGGCACTATATGGTACACCGTTGCCTACAAGAATGGACAGGACGTAACTATGTCTCTGTGATGTCACGCCAGTAGATGAAACTCGGCCGCGGTTCAACATGTGTTCTTATGGGAGAACGCCTGACACGTGTTTTTTTCGTGCCGATATCTTTCCCAGGGTAGATCTGATGCAAAAATTCATATTCGAATGCAGATAAAATTTCACTTGATGAAACAAACTAACCTAAATGATATGTGACATTGTTTAATTATCGAGGAAATAAAAGCGTGATACCGAAAATCGTTACTCTAATCAGATTCAAACCGGCTGCTCGCGCAACTTCAGCGGTTCAGGGGCCACTCTGATTGGTCCATGCAGAGACTTCCTCACTCATCGATGCATCGATGACCCGGAGATGCTTATTGTTTTCGGAAAATATCTGTTAGCTTGACTTCACAAAATTGACTAGTTACGTCCTCTCCATTCTTGTAGGCAACGGGTAACCTTATGGCACATTAGCTTATACTGACTTTACAAGAAGCAATGGTTATGTCAAGGTTCACAGTGAAGATTTTGTACAAGGTGTACATGCATAGGTAAGTATACAAGGATCTGAAAGGAGGTTGCACTGTGATCGGCTGTCACACCAGTAAATCCTCCTCTTCCTGGATGGGGACACTAAATAGTTGAGGCTGTCAATTAAAAAAGGATTGCACTGTTCAATCCCTGACACTGACTGTGGGCGGAGGAAATAGGACGAGGATTCTTACAATCTTTGAGGTATGACAGAAGAGATAATTCTTACCTTGACATGCCGAAGGAGATAATCCAGCAACATTTTCTTCTTTTTTTCCTTTTCTTTTTCGACGCATAATCCAAAATTCAAGCCCATCACAATAGTCCGCATCAATCCTCCTTCAATACTATCCCACAAGAATTTCGGGGTGTAACAACAAATGCCTTGGAAAAATAACACAAAACACACCCATTGGTAATATGTGTAGTATTTTTTGGCATCTTCATCTCCAAAATCGTTGGCTACTCCAGGATGGGCAACCTCTACACCAACCTGTCTTCGAAAGGCGTCAGGCATTGTGAAAGTGGATGTAATCCAACAAAACGTGTTAATAGGGTGAGTGGGTAAGCCATTGACTATACACTGGATTGGATTACCTACATATTGAGTGGCAGTAATAATGAGTGAACACATCATTAACAAAGCTGCAGTAAACAAATTGTGTAACCGAAAAACAGCGCTGTCAGTAGTAATATCTGGGATTTTAATGTAATCCTTCAGAGATCCTAGTAACTTAATCATGATGCAATTTGACTAAGAACACTAGCGCACGAGAAATGTGGACTTGTAAAAGATTGAGGGATTAAATAATAAAGCACTAACACAGTATCACACTCTAATGAGTAATGATGCTTGTATCGAAAGCACTTGGTGAAGAGAGAAGAGAAAAAAAAGCGAACAGCTGATTAAGACGCGCGACTACCCTCTGCTGATGCACCAAAATGGCGGGGTTTCACCGCTAGTATAAACTAGAGTACCTATATTGAGAGAGTATGGCCACTGGGTCCCATGGAGAGGCTTAGGACCCAAAAATGGCGGTGCTTTGTTTTGGTTTTTGTGGATGGGAGGGGGGTTATTGCCAACTTTTGACGGATATCACCAACCACACTCGCTGCCAACCTTACTACATCCAAGATAATTTTTCTCGAAAATTGCACACGATTAGCCTTAAAAATTTGTAACGAGGTCGCAATAGTGCATTTTGGTAAATTTCTCGTTACGATAAGCAAAGACAACTACATTTTGAGTCATTTTGCATTACATTAACTTATGGCGTCCGCCATTTTTGGGTCCTTAGAGCTCCATTCAGCCTAAGATGGCTGAGCCAATCAGAGGTGGTAACTCAAGTGGCCATACTCTCTTTCTATAGGTACTCTAGTATAAACAAACCATGCTCAGTGCATAGAGGGGCCAGGAGAACCATTGACCACAGATTAGTCAGATCGCTAACATCGGCGGAAGAGCGTGAGTAGCTTTGTGAGCGCCATTAGCGGGAAAATCCATGGGCATTTTAAACTAGGAACCAAAACTGAAATTTTGGCTATTTTCAGCAGATTTTCGGCGGGAGAATACTTCTTTTTCAGATTTTTGTGGGATGAAACGTTCCGAAGAATTCAAGAATTAGTTTCGCAGTAGAATTTATGTGGTTCAATATTTCCAGATTAAATAATTAAGGTGGAAATAAATAAAGAAGGAGAATTAATTAAAATACGAGTAAACAAGGCTAAAAATTATTGAAACACTAAAAGGTAAGACGTTTCGAGCTGCTTCCAGCTCATTTTCAGCTGCAAAAACACATAAAAACAAGTAAAAAATTGAGTGGCGACCTGACCTCAGCCATTATCACGTAACCACTCATAATAACGGCTGGGGTTAGAGTCCCTTTATACCCAGAGTAACGACAACTCGATTATCAGCTGACTGGCAGCCGACCTTGGCTGGCCATGGAGGCCGAAACTAGTGCACCCTAACGAACGATATTGAGGGATAAGGATCAGGAATCCTGATCCGATGTCTGTCACACAAAAAAAACAACATCAACAAATTGATCAATTAAAAAGAAAATGAGATTGGTTTGTGAATAATTTCTT